GTTTAACATTAAAATTTCACTTCTCACACACATACTGTATGCATAAGTACGAAATCCAAGTAAAAATACATGAATTCGGTGAATACTGCAAATATTAAATGTGGCAGGTGTCCGGTCGTAAATGATTGTGATAAATATTTGTTTCAAAGCTAATCGTAACCTATTCAGATTGGACAGTTTTATGATCAGACAGATTAAAGAGACAATGTTCTTCTGAACAATGGATTGATGGATCAATAGGTCATGTTGAACTACAAATGAAGCCTGGTTAAAATGGGATAGTTCACGAGTTAAAGTGGGCTGGAACAATTCCCAGAAGGTAATTTTCCATCAAAAGAGGATTTGCTGCATCTCTGATACAGTATGTGCAAGCTGTTAGGGACTTTGGTAGATGCTTGCAAAGTGCCAGCAGCTATGCTGATCTGAGTAATGGATCACATTTTATTTGACTCGTTTCTATGTTTTTAAGAGTTTCCATTGTATTATGAGATTAATTTAGCATATCTGAAGCTTAAGGGCACTGGCTTCTGCTCATCTCTGTGTCAGCAGATACTGGGACAACCTCCTGTCACACATCTGCTAACTAGTCGATCTCTGGATCTGACCTATACACTTGTGTCTCATGCAACACTGAGCAGAAGACTCTGCCTGAAATTTTGGTTACTGCTCTGGGTGTTTCTCTCCCCAACCTTATCTTACTGAGATTTGCAGTCTGCTTGGAGCACAAAAGTGCTTATTAGTGCTTCCTGTGTCCCCCTGATTCTTAAAAGCTGAACCAACAGAACTACTGCACACTTGAAAAGCAGGTTATACAGAGCGGAACAAGAGAGTTGTAACAGCCAGTCTCTTATCAGTGCTTAAATAACTAACTGTGAGGGTGCACTACAGTGTTCATGCAAGGCAAAAGCTCAATAGTTGTTAAATATGCCTTAAATTAATGTACTGTTGCATTTTCCCAGGAGCTAGATTCAATGGTCATTTAATCAAATGAGATTTTAAGGCAGCACATGGGATTCTGATGCATCCTTATGGACTGTAGTCCACTTAAAATACTGACTATGTTAAGTTCTTTAGTTTCAGCTTTCAGTATCTTATTAGCTTTGTCTGAAGAGTTCACCAGAGTCCAGCATGCATTTATTTTACTCTAATATGTTTCCAAAAGAATAGTTTTCAACATTAGTATTGAAATCTGTTCAATCCCTTCAAAACACACACTCTTACCCTTGCACTATTGCATTCTGACCCCTTTTCTTAGAAAAAAGATCCAACATCTTTTTTTCATAACAAGCTGTCATCTATCTCCATCTTATCCAACACAGGGCTTTTTAAATTGGTAAGCATGGTGCTTTAATTTCAAATTATCTGCAGTCACAGCATGGCTTCCCTATTGTTTTCAGTATTCAGATGGTTGGCTTTGCTGTATCTCAGTTTTAGGATCCTCCTCTCCCTTATCTTAGACCTCCTTATTACTGCAGAAAACTGTCCCCATCCTTTACCTTTCAAACATGATCCTTCATTCCTGACTAGTTTTATTTTCCAAATACTTCATTTCAACAGCATCAAACAGGCGTGTGCCACCTGAAACATAAAAGATCCAAGATCCAGAACTTAGGCTAAATTTAAGAGTTACCAACTCTGTGCTTGTTTTTGAAGATGGGCAGGTTTTCTGTGCCAATCATAAACATTAAGAGAACTTGACTTTCTGCACCCTGAATTTATACAACGGCACGTTTTATGTAGCATAATGCTTCATCTTAAATGAAAGCCAAAAAAGTGAAGCTTCTTTGATTTCAATAACAGAGTGGCAGCATTTCATCATATTAGAAAGAGAATAAAATTCAATTTTATCACTCACGTATAGCTGAACAATATCTTCTGTCTACATTGGTTTGACAATAAATAACCACGGACATGCATGCATACATAATCAAAAGTGAAAAGAAGGGATTTTTGTTGTTCACGTGAAAGAATAAATCACTCGTTCCAGGATGTTTCAGAAAAACATCTTCCCTAATCGGCTCAGGGAGAGATGCAACCACAATGTAGTTAAGTTGGTGCACGATCTTGAGATGAATAGAATATAAGTCAATGCAAACTGGAGATTTCAGAACCACCTGGAATGGACATTTATTTCTGACATCATTACAACATCGTGCTATGCCACATTGAATAATTTTTCAAAATATTTTTTGGGGTAGTGCTTTACATTTGTGGCTATGAAACATGTTCGGTGACATGCAGAAAAAAGAAAAACAACATGCATAATAAGAATATAGCAAAATACAATTTCTCATAATAATACCAGGGCCATTGGTACTGAGCTGCATCTCTAGAAAACATTTTGACTTCTCTCTACATGGATTTTTAGTTGAAGGTACTATATGTCTTGTCATGAACCCTTCTGAATTGTGTTCCTGTAGTGACATTTGCACAATTGCATGGTGCTGTATCATGCTGTGTGTTATGACAGTGTTTTTTGCCTCATCAGGTTTTTAATCATTTAAGCCCTGTGTGTAACATGAAAAAAACGTACTTTATTTTTCAGTCATTTCTTAGTTTAACTGTTTCAATCTACTCATATAATCTATACATAATGGCCCAAAAGGAATTCAGTGTTTTTGTAAATGTCTGAAGTTGTCTCATTCAGCTTACAAGAAGCACTTTCTTTTTATAATTGAAGGGTACAGAAAAGCTTTAGAGATTGATTTTGAAGCAAAACAAAGAAAAATGTTAAGACGTTCCTTTCTGGTTGAAACAATCTATGTCTAAAGGAAAACACAGGCAGATAAAAGAGGTTGGGTCATTTCAAAGGGCTGTGAAACATTCCAGTCCACTGGTGATAAGAACATTGTTCATCCTTGTGAAGAAATGATGATCTGGATCACCCATGTTTGCTAAATCTTGGTTTTCTCTTTACAGTATATATATATACTGTTAACCTATATCTGTATCTGTATATATACTATATGATGTGTCAGTTGAGTGTTTGGTTGTGTTCATGAATGTGCGCAGATGTTGGTCTCCACCTACAGTATATCTGAATTTCACTGTCATCTACTTTCCCTCTTCACTTCCTCAGCCCAACTCCTCCGGAACACTAAACATTGTTCTTCTTTGCATTCAGTTTCCTTGGAACCCATTCATTTCCTGGCTGTGAAAGGTGATTGCGGCACAGCGTGCATTTAATCCGGAAAGTGAGCGAAAAACGAACGGGACGCCACACGAGTGGGACTTCCGAAATTGTATGCACTAACCTTTGTTAATTGCTTCCCGCTTAGTGGAGGAGCTCGGATGTTTCCTGTTTTTCCTTCCTCCAATGACAAGGTGCTTAAGCCAGGGTTGGGGATCATGGGCTAAACAAAAATGGAGCGATGGGGGACTGGAACTGTTGTTTTCTCTCCCTTACAGTCACCCCTCCCCCTCCGTTGCACAAGCGTTTGCGATGACGAGTCATGGCTGTACCACATGTGTCCAACAGAGGCACCAGGTCAAATAACTTGGTTCACACAGATGATTGTTGGCCATTGTACATAAAAGAGATCGTTCCAAGTGTGCTTGTGCACTAAGGGATGCATCCTCCTGCACAAATAGAGCTGACTGTGAATAACTGGTGCTTTGGGTGAGGGCAATGGTGATTATAGGTAAAGGGAGAGCAAATTTGAATAGAAAAAAAACATATTTTTTTCCAGAAACAATTATCTGTTTCTCTCGTTTTTGAACATGTTTCCCACCTGTTATCATTTTTAACAGATGTTGGAAGCCAGCAACTATCATTGCATCACTTTCTCTCATTGGCCATCCCTGACTTAGACTCCGAAGAAGCCTGCAATGTTTGTCTGTCTGTCTTCCAGAAGTGTTTCAAGCTTGAGTTCAGCAGGTGTCTTTTTAGTCTTCAGCAGATTCAGTGAGAGTATTCTTGGGAGGCAGCTTGATGTCATGGGATAAAGAAACCTTGTCTAAATTTGAACATTGATGATGTAGACAAAACTGCAAACAGGCTGTCCTCATCAGATTGGATAAGACGATTACTAGGGTGAACGTGATCGTTCATGTAGGATAACAGTAGGAGTTTTTGCATGATGATATGCTTGTAGATCACCCTGCTAGATCATGTAGGATTACAATACCACTTTATACATTTTCCAGTATAGAACTTGCTGCGATTTCATTTTTAGTGTGAAGCCTAAATTACAAACTTGTCTAAAATAAAGCCATATTTTCATGGGAGTTTGTGGGCTTTTTAAAATTTCAGAAGAGTTTTTGTGGAATTCATAACTGCATCCAATCAATTGCTATAGCACAATACGTATGCTACCATCCCAAAGTTACTACTGTAGCAGACTTGTTTGTGTGTGTGTGCATTTATAATCAATACTGTCTACAACTCCCCAGATTCTCAGTATGCAATCACTGAACATTGCAGCCCTGCTGTATAGGACATGTCTGTACTGCTTGAAAAAATTGGCAGATTAAAATACAGGTTACTGCATAGAAAATACAAAAGTAGCTCTTAACTGTATCTCCTTTTGAGATTTGGTTATTTATCTCGTTTTTACTAAAAACATCAGTGATTATCTTTTGTTAGCTAAAGCTAGTCTGGGATCTTTTTTGGAATCTATATGAGCTAGAATATTGATAACATTCCACTTTGACAGGAGGAGCCAATGTTTTTTTTCTATTGTGGGTTTTTTTTTTCAGTCACATTTATCTCAAGCATTGGATTTATTTCAAAGCACCTGGCTCAAGGTGGTACAGACCACATTTGGGCACAAGCTGGAGCTACTAGTACATAGGCTTATAAGCAGCAATGAATGATGTCCTGCTCTTTCCCCATCAATTTATCCCTTGTCTTTCTGTTTTGTCTCTCTCTTTCTTTTGCAATCCCCCTTCTTTCCCTGGCCCCTTCTTTCCTTTCTGGTTTGCGTTTGCCTTCATCCTTAACCCCTCACCCTCAACTCCAACCCCAAATCACCCCTCCTTCCTGACACCACCCTCGGCAGTTTTCGTGTGTCCTGGGACACTTTTGAAAGTTCAGGGGCCCAGCTCCATACAGGAGTCAGGGCACCAAGCAGGGGCCTGGTGCAAGGACCCCCTGCAGGCCGGCGATCGCCTGTACGTCATGCCCTGGACCCCCTACCGCACCGACACCCTGACCGAGTACGCCTCCTGGGAGGACTTCAAGCAAGGACGTCCCACCACCACCTATCGCCTCCCGAATCGTGTGGATGGCACGGGCTTCGTGGTGTACGACGGGGCTGTGTTCTACAACAAGGAGCGCACCCGCAACATTGTCAAGTACGACCTGCGCACGCGTATCAAGAGCGGGGAGGCCATCATCACCAATGCCAACTACCACGACACCTCGCCCTATCGCTGGGGCGGAAAGTCTGACATCGACCTGGCGGTGGACGAGAATGGCCTTTGGGTCATCTACGCCACCGAGGCCAATAATGGACGTCTGGTGGTCAGCCAGGTAAAGCTCTCCTCTCTGACCATTCTGCTGTTGCCATAGTCATTCTACAATCCGTAAACCAGGTGTTCTCCATTATAGCTCCTAGTGTCTCCTAAAACTCCAGTTTTAATATGTATTTTATGCTTTCTTTAAAGGCCATCATCTTTTTATCAACATGGTTATTTTGTCAACAAGCTAGGTTTGACTGTGTAATGGAAAATGTACGCAGTTTTATATCTACAAAAAATATCTATAAAATATCTATATATATATCTATAAAAAAAAACGATGTCTCTGTGGCCAAGGATCTGCGCCTGTGGCTGGAAGGTTGCCAGTTCAAATCCTATGGCCGGGAGAGAAATTCTACTTCTTTGGGCTCCTGAGCAAGGCCCTTAACCCCAGCTGCTCCGGGGATGCTGTACAATGGCTAACCCTGCGCTCTGACCCCAAGCTTCTCTCTCCCTGCCTGTGTGTCTCATGGAGCAAGCTGGGACATGCAAAGACGAATTCCTAATACAAGAAATTGTATATGGCTAATAAAGTGATCTTATCTTATCTTATTAACAGGCCAAGTACTTTTGACGGTAAGTTTCCATTATTAGAAGGAAGAAATCCCTGGGAAATAAAGAGAGGTCATCAAATATTGGGTTTAAATATTAATGGCTGATAAGTGGTTTGAGATTTTGTTTCAGCTTGAGTTTCGGATGTTATATATTAGATATAATACAACAGATCACATGTACAAGAACAAGACATAAAAATACAAGAAATGTTACAAAAGAGAAGAGATGTGAACAGAGGACAAATGTCAAGCTTGGGTCTTCCGACTTTGGGTGTCTGTTTCAGGTGAACCCATACACCTTGCGGTTCGAGGGCACCTGGGAGACAGGCTTCGATAAGCGTCTGGCGTCCAATGCCTTCATGGCGTGCGGGGTCCTGTATGTGGTGCGCACCGTCTACGAGGATGACGACAGCGAGGCGGCGGGAAACTTCATCGTGTACGCCTACAACACCAACCTGAACCGTGAAGAGCCTGTCAACATCGCCTTCCCCAACCCTTACCAGTATATCTCTTCCATCGACTACAACCCCCGTGACAACCAGCTCTACATCTGGAACAACTTCAATGTGCTGCGCTACCCCCTGGAGTTTGGGCCTCCAGACCCAACTGCAGGTGAGAAGAGGCTCTCTTTCATTTATCTCCATATATCCACCATCTATCTGATACTGTATGTTAAATACTGGGTTACAGGGGAGCCAGAGCCTATCCCAGCAAGCAATGGGCACAATGCAGGATACACCCTGGACAGGATGCCAAACAGGATGCCAATTAACCTACCAGTTTGTCTTTAGACTGTGGGAAGAAACTGGAGCTCCTGGGGAATACCCACACAAACACGGGGTGAACATACAAATTGAACTTGGGACCCCAGATCTGAGAGGTACTGTAGCAATGCTAATAAGCATTGTTCCTTTGGCCACCTTATCCTTCACCGAAAATCCTTTTAAAAAAGAATGGAGGTTGTTAAACAAATGTTCTGTTTAACTTAAGTTTGGGAGCAGGTCAAGAGGTAATCTCACACTTTCACTTTCTTGCATTGAAATACAAACCAGCTTTACACCGCTTTACATGCAACTTTTCTGCATTCCTCCTCCTCAAGTTTCCCTTGTAGCTGCCTCCCTGGTTCATTCCTCATAAGTGAGGAGGGGATTTGTGAGCCATTATCTTGGCTGTCTTTTTGTCAGCCACGCAAGTTAACACCAGAGACCAAAGTATTAAGTACACTTTCCTTTTATACTTATTATCTCACCTCTTCTTGTCACAATTAGAATTTGACTGAACTACTAAACTCTCTAATTTTGACCAGAATATAAAACTTCTGAGCAGCTTAGCTGTGGTAAGAACGTATGCTTGCTCAGAGCAGAGGTTTTATTCTGGAATCCAGCTGTCTTGGGTTCAGGCCCTGGGACAGGCTGGTCAATTACCAGCTGTGTTTGGCATTTCTTGGCTGGGAGTCTTGGCCAGGGCTGTTTCTAAACTTCCTGCAAAATGGTGACATTAATAAAGGAGTTGAGTGCAATGTTCTGTAGGTTGCTGCAGATTTTGTAGTGTATGAAAAGATAAATGTCTTTGTGGGTTGGAGGATTCTATCTGCAGTTACTCAACAAGGTTAGTATAAAGGCTAGGACAGTCAATCCCATAATTCCTGTTCCTTTCCCATAATTCAATTTTATAGGTGCCAATATTGGAGTGCATTGAGTGCCAAGGATAATATACCTGAATGTCAGCTAGCATGCAGGCAGTTAGCAATGAAACATTGTCTTTTTTTAACATCACATTTACTTTACAGCTACCTGTCCTGGCAGCAGTAAAGTTTTCTTATGGCTGACTCAGTTATTTACTCAATTGCAATATGAAACTTGACAATGCACTTTTCTCCAGGTCCATTATTATTATTTACATCAGCAGTAATTACTAAAAATGAAGTGCCCTTCCCCTACAGTTTCTCCCCATGTAGGTGGAAGGGTCAGTCATTGTCATGAGCAACAGCAGAGAATCAACTGCCAGTTCCACATCTGGTGGGTACAGTATATTGAAAATGAAACAAGAGGTGATCCACAAAATCCAATTCAATTGTCAAATTGTCATTAATTGCTATAATATTTCTAATGAGAACTCAGAAGCCATATTTTAACATTTTAAACACTCTCAGAGTTTCTCCTCAGCATAGAACAACATTGCAAGTGTAACATTTCCCTTGTTTTCTGGGGACCCTCCGAGCAGTCTTTCAGGGTCGTCAAGGGGTCCCTGTATCCGTGGATGAGAAACATCTCTGTCCTCAGAGACCATTGTCTTGTATCTCTTTAAATGGACAGGAAACCTGCTACACACAAGCTGTAGCATTTCTATTGCAGTATGTACAATACAGTATATCCAGTATTAGCAGTAACCAAATTAAATAAATTTACCCAGCTAACACAAAACATTTTAACAACTTTTTCAGCTGTTGTTGAAAACGGGCAGCTCACCCTGTACTGATGTGAAATTCAACAAAAATGAACAAAGGTGTTTAAAAGCATTTCAATATGTAGTATTTCTGTATACTGTGTGACTAGATAGGGCCAGGCGTACCACTTAAGGAGGCATCGGAGACAGAGAAAGTATGACTTTTGCTGCCAACTAGTTCCCTGTTATCGTGTAGTTCTCCTCAGAACTCAGACTCTTTTTGATCTGCTTTCACAGCATGTGAGACTATTAACTCCATGGCAGCTTTTTGGAATAGCAGAAACAATATTTAGACAGTCATATACAGTATATCCAACACATTAACAAAAACATGCCAGTTAGTCCTGTTTCAAATATCTGTGACATTCAACATTTTTGTTTTGGGGCAGCACAGTTGCTGCAGTGTTTAGTTTTAATGTGTTGTAGTGCTGGGGCTCGGGGTTCAATTCCTGGGGTACTATCAGCATGGAGTTTTTGTTCTCCATGCATTCACTTGGGTTTCCACAGGATACTCTCGTTTCCTTCCACAGTCATAAGACATACTGGTGGTTTAACTGGTTTCTGGAAAAAAAATCCCAGTTAAGAGTGTGCATTTGTGTCTGTATGTCTGGCTTGCAACTGACTATCATCCCATCCAAATTGTATCACACCTTGCTCCTGTTTTATACTAGGATAGGCCCTGGCTCCAACCCTGGATTGGATGAAGCAGTTAGAAAATGGATGGATGCTTTTCTTTTCTTTCAAAATAATGTTTTTCAATCTTGTCATGGGCCACACATACTGTAAAATCAAATATTTTCATATCTTATACGCTTTGCATTGCACAAAAAACATTATCGTAAGCTACGGTATGCCACACAATAAATAAGACTACTTTATCTACTTGTACATTTTAGATGTGTACAAAATACTGCAATAAAATTATTTTAATCTAAAGCCTTCTGTTAAGTGGATCATTTAAACCAATTAAATGGCCACCAGAATATCCAGTCTATGTTTCATCTGTCTGAACGGCTGTTTTGGAATAAGAATCATGCTAAACAAAAACAGGCGAGAGAAAGACCTTGATTTAGTAAGCAGGTTCCCTTTCCACTAAAGCACAGCAGCATGCCAGCAGCCTACAAAAATGCAGCTCTCACCCAATCTTCCTCATTAGTTTGGCAGATAAAAATCATGTGATATGCAAACAAATAAAATAATTAAAAGATATAGAATTGCCTTGTTAGTCTTTCACCTGTTTTTTTTTAAATGTGTCACATTCACAGGGTCTGATGGTTTCCACTCTTGCAGAGCTAATTATATAAGAGCCATCCATTAGTCACTTAGTAAAAATGAGATGTTAATTTACAGAAGCCAGCTACAATCCCTGAAGGGTTATTACTCTTTAGGGCTAAGGTAAACCTGCCCAGTTCTGTAGCTAACAATAATATACTGCACTACGCTGTGCTATTTTAACACATACAATGTTTCAGAACCCTGTGCAACATCAATTAATTTCCCCACCACTCTGTTTGCCTGTCTGTTTCAAACAAAATATTTCTGGGAGCCTTTTGGTAAGTTTATTTTTCCTGAAAATAGCATGGTAAACAATAAATAATCTGAGCTGAAACTACTGAGCGTTGAAAAATCGTATTTGTTTTATGATCCTCAGCAAGCGTGAAATGAAATAAAAGGAGAGCCGCGAAGGTAAACTTCTTTGACAACACCTATACGGAGAGAACAATGCCTCACATTAGTGTGTTTTCTGTCCACCTTTAATTTACTTCTGCTTGTTTTTGCGAGTGGCGAATCTTTACTAATGTAACATCCATCACCGTAATATGCTGTGTTCTTAAACCACTGGGACATTGAATGATTCATCAAATGCTAATCAACAGATGACTCATCTCTAATGTGGATTGTCAAAAAGCACAGAGTTTCCGGAAGAAGTACTTTGTGAGGCGCTAAGCCCCAGCAGTGATGATGTGCATCAAGGCTGTTGTTTTCTGAGGAGTGTGGGGGGGAATAGAGAATGGGTGCAGCAGTATGGAGTGCTGGTTGGGGTTCTGGATCCTGGACTGAGTTGTCTTCAGCTCAGATCCCAGTATGGGACACTGTTGGTGCAAGGCACCTCGCTCAGATTGCTCCGGTAAAGGCCCTGCTGTGCAAAGGGGTCTCCATGTTATAAATGGTCTAAGTTGACCTATCTTGTCGCATAAAGCACTAAATAAATATAAATATATGTTTATAGATCTGACTGAATGCCTTGCAGAGAGGGCTGTAACTCTCTTGATGAAAAAAAAACTAAGTAATTTGCATTTTTCTGTTAAACCAGGAGATTTTATGCTCTGTGCATTTTTTCCAGGGAAATATAATTTACACAATGCAAGATAGATTTGTCAAGTGCTTATAGGGCAACTATCCCTATGCAGTGCGTAGGTTTAAAGTCTAGGTATAAGTAACAATGGTTGAGTAAGCTTTTATATGTCTATATGTATTTGTATATGCCGTATACAGTATATACAGCATATATCTCAGCCATATGTTAAGTATTATGTGATTACTAAATAGTATTATGGGCATTTTGTTTTACTGGGTAAATAGTGATATTTCTAGGGTCATTTAACTGCAATTATAGTAGAATAAAAGAAATAAAAAAATTCATATTGTAGTTACAGTACATGCTTCTATAAAAGCCATCCTTCCATTTTCTAACTGCTTTAATGAATACACCATCGCAGGGGAGCCAGAACTTATCTTGGCAAGCAATGGACTCAAGGCAGGGTCTGTAGTATGGCAATAGTATGTTACAGTTGTTGACATGGTATGTGTTACAATCATGGTCTGTCCTCATCAGAAGTCCTGTGCACAATTCCTGGCAGTATGTCTTTAGAACCCACACAAACTCAGGGAAAACATACAAACTCCACACAGATAGCACCTCAGGTCTAGAATTCAACCCAGGGCCCCAGTGCTGCGAGGCAGCAATACTAACTAGTGCACTATCATGCCACCTGAATCGCACATCTGAGACCGTCTGTACTGTATGATAGATGCTTTGTCAGCAGCACACAGGAGTTACACAGGATTTCATGATGCTAAGTGCATGTTCAAAATATTGAACGCAAAAAGAGAGATAATATATTATCCTACATTTGCAGAGTCAAGATGATTTACAAATCAATTGGTTTACTTATCAGTCAATTAAAAACAAATCTGTGTAATAAAAGGCATCTCAGATGGGTTATGTAAGTTAGCAGACTGCTGGGAACTAGGAAGGCCTTGTGAGACTTCCCATATTTCATAAACACTGCGCAATGGTTTTACCATCAGGGCTCATGAATTAAAATTGTCATGTCATGTCATTTTACCATACGGTGTGGTGGGAAACTGGAGCCTACCCAACAAGCAACGAGCGCAAGGCAGGGTACACCCTGGATGGGGCGCCAGTCCACCGTAGGGCAGGATCAAGGTTGTCTTGGTTTTGAATGTTGATCCCAAAGATCCGTAGAGCAAGATCTTGAGGCGGCGCTTTGTTTTACAGATCCCCTCACCACCACTCAGATCACCACTACTACTGCCTCTGTGAGGCCCTGGTCAGCCACCGTCGCCAGTACAGCCAGTTCCTCCACCGCCCGCCCCCTGCCACCCACCTCCCACCCCATTGGGGCCATCAACAAGGTGCCCGACCTGCGGCCCATCACCGCCACTATCCCCGTCACCCGTCGGCCCCCGCCACCCTACCACGGCCCTGAGCAGCAGATGTGCGAGGCTCGTGTCGCGCGGGGGGTGCAGTGGCCCTCCACACAGAGGGGGGAGACAGTGGACAGACCCTGCCCGAAAGGGTCCCTCGGTGAGTGACTCAACCTTCCCGTTGTTCATGACTAGTTTCAAATGTTTCCCCTGCCTGCTTGCTGAGAGGCTGTACCTCTTTACACAAAGAGTTGCGGGTGTCTGGAGCAAGCACAACTGAATGTCCAGGGGATTGTTCAAGAAAACGTTTTGATGGGATCTGGTCTAAGACCACAAAGATGAATGAGCTGAATTTGCTGAATTGTTGCAATTGCTTTCACCCCAAAATCTTTTGAGGGTAGGGTCAGGTCTCTGAGTCAGAATCAGGATCGGGACTGTGCTTCAGCCATATCTTTTTTATAGGTTGTAAAAAAAATCTGGAATCTTGGTATTATGTGTGTGTGTTTTACACAGCTACAGGACTCAATTGTATTGTTGGCCTTAGGCCCCATACTTTAAGGAGCCCCAGATGTCTAAGCCAGGGTTACCCAGTCCTGCTCCTGGATACCCCACATCCATTAGGTTTTAGTTATACCCATCTTAGTAATATGTAGTTGAACCTCAATGATTCCAGTAACAGGATACATAAGAATTCCTGAGTTTTCCACTCTTAAACATTTTGAAAGTTGCCTTTTAACAGTTTCATTTCCTAAGTTACTTAAACTTTCCAATTCAAGTCAGAAAACAAATACGAGTTCAAGTAAGGGGTCAGATAAGTTCAGATGGAAGAAAATAACAGTAGGCGTGGGAGTCCGCAGGAGCAGAACTGGGAATTATAATATCTGTGTAATGATATTGTACTGTTTTCATGTTGTATTGTTGTTGGAAATATTGTATGTTTATGAACTCTTGATGTGCAAGACAAATCCCCTTAGGGGAAGTAAAGGTCAGTTTGATTTGATTTGATTCCACCATCTTTAATTGATGCAACAAGTCTACTCGAAGGCTGGAAATTTGTGATTTACTTAAGAACTGCAGTAGTTAAAAAGCACCTTTTGGTGTTTATGAACTGAAAACAATTAAATACATTACATTAAGCCTATTATAAGGTTGATAAAGATTTTTTTTTATTTTACTGAATACTCAGATAAAAAGGTGGACCACAATTCAGCAGGTGTTAAGACCAAAATTGAGAAAACCTCTAAGCAACAATTTGATATTATGTCAAATCCCTGGGCAGAGGGGATGCAACGCCACCTACTGGATAGATCCAAGAAGGCAAATGGAAGCAGGAGGTGAACTTGGACTGCTAGAGGTGGCTTGAAACATTCTACTGTGCTGTATCTGTGCTAATCATTGGGTGTGTGTTTCTTAATTAACAAATGATGCTGCACACAGTTTCACAAATTTCTTCCCAGAACCAATATTTTCCCTTGTAATGTCAGATTTCCTCTAAAATGGCCAGTTTTAGACAAGTGACCTTCATCAAAGCCACACAACAATAATCTGTTGGTGAGATCAGTAGTAAGGTATGAACACATATATGCATACTGTGACTTTAAGTTTTTTCTTGTATCTCCATTCCAAGCATCACCCAGGGACTTGCATATCCTGCATTTTAGCCAGCCAGTACTTTATCATGTTTTTCAACAACCTCCTCTATATTTCAGGCTTATTCACCTGTTGTTGGAATAATTTGTTGTGTACCACCATTCTATCAGTACATTTCAGTCAAAATTTTCAAATGTTTTTCTTTTACTTATTTCTCAAAGGGAATCAAATGAAAGAAAATATTTTGTCTTTCAAAGGCTTGGCCAGTTGAGCTGATTTCTTCAAAAAATATTTTGCCTTTAAGTATTTTTCTGGGAAAAGAGCATAAAGTCAGCTGAGGCACACTTAGATGAGGTCTTTGTGGAATTTGAGACTGGATTTTTTTCTGTGTCCTTAGTTCTATTCTGTGTGTAGTGTGCTGTCCCCTTGTCTCAGTATAATACTATTTAACTGGTCCTGAGAAAATCACTCAAACTTTTTTAAAGATTTCTCAAAGCACATTTCCAGGAAGTATAGTGGGGAAGCCAAATAGTGTCACACAAATTTCTGCAGCACTTTGGCAAAATATTAAGGACTGAAGTCTATGGAAGACTGATGCTTCTTAACTTAATTTCATACGCTGTAGTGTAACTATAAAAAAGTATTTCCAAAAGCAGATGTTACTAGAAAATAGTTCACCTGAAGGACAAACAGCAATCTTTTTCAAGAGCAACGAAGAACTGTAAGCAAAGAAGCTATAGTATATAATTGGTCATGAAAAAAGAAGTGAAATAAAACCATTAAGCAAATTAATTCAAATACTCTTTTCAATAACACACTGAGGTGCCTGAGAGAGTGATGTGCTTGTTAGATGCTTTATTTAAATCACATTAAGGAAGTTGTTTCTTTCAGCTGAGAAATGTACACTGTATATGTTTAATTAAATGCAATAGTGCTTTTGAAAAGCTCCAGATTTTCATATGAGGTCGCCTTGATTGATGTCTTTTGTTGGTCTAAGCCTGCACTACTCAAAGAACCTTCAGCCCTTGTTGGGAAATCATGCCGATACTGTATGTCTACCATGCTTTTGGGGTTTTTGTGAAATCATTTTTATGTACAGGTACATTAAGCAAATGGAGTGGTGTTTTTAATAGCGCTCGAAAAACTTAGCCAGTGAACACGGCCCTCCGAGAATTCTGTCAGCACGGCTCCTGGCCTCTGATTATAAATCTGTTTCCAAAAGGGTCTGATTATGAGTTTTGTAAGGTTGTTTCACCTAATGGAGACTTATGGGATTGCTGCTGGTTGGCATGGTTTTTGCACTGCATTTCAAGTGCATTTAAATCAATGTACATGCATCTTCTTAATTTGAAACTTCCAGTTACTGTCTCATTAGGATTGTCCACTGATTCTTGTACCAGAGAGAGAGGAACATCTCCCTTACCTCCTTCTCAGTCATATTTAACATTTATGAGATATATAGTGGAATTATTGTACCTTTACTATGGTTTCCTATAGTTGTAAGGTGTGAGTGTGATGGTTGCATATTCTGAAAGTGTGTAGTCTGTATGCTAAAGAGTTTAAAGACTTGCCAGTTCACTTATCAATCAGTGTCTATATGCTGGAATCATAGGCAACCAAGTTATGGTGGTGACTGGCCTACCTGAAATTCCTGAGACGTTTCAAGTCTTTCTCATTCGCAACATTAATTCTCTCTGATAATTCTGAAAATGGTTCTGAAAATGGTCAAGAATAAAACACCCCATGTCAGAAAGCACAAAATAACCACCTTCACTGAATGTTATACCCTGATAAATCAAATATTTCCAATGCCCTATCAAACCTGTAAGTTTTTCTGATTCTTATCATTGGCAGATACATTTCCTAAAGGAAACTGCTGTACATGGATTTATTGAAAAACTGAAATATGAACAGAACACAGGACACTCTCTTTCTTATGGAAATGACTGAATCTAAAGACTTGATTGTAATAAACACCAGGTGAACTGAATCAGTACCTTTATACAGTACATTGATAATTACCTTCATACTGTATAGTCTTTTGCTTGACTGAATGTAAGAAAATCAATAGGTCTAAATTGCTTTTTTTTTCTTGACAATAAAACTGCAGAGCAATACCTTCCATAAGCATTATGATGTATTATATTTTTGTATTGTAATCTGCCGGGATCAAGGCATCAGCCAAATGAACAAAAAAAAAATAGTAAGCAAAACAAAATGATCTTATCCTCTGGAGCTCTTTATAAAACACGATTTGCTTACTGTCAGAAAAAAAAACATCAATGCTTGATTTAAGAATCTGAAATATAAATCAATTATAGCATTTCTTTATTTTCCATAATAAAGGGAAAAAAAATGATAGCATTTTATCCATGCAATACTTTTGTTTACATCTACTCATTTTGTGAGTAAAAATACTAGAAAATGCTCAGGAAAGAGTAAATGTTCTAATGTCAAATAAACATGATTTACAACAATGTGCTTTGGTGCTCTGAGCATGTGTATGCACTGGCTTCTCTGAAATCCCCTGATACAAAACGTTCTCCTTCCTTTCATTTTTAAAGTGCCATCACACTCAAATCAAAAAAGGAAACTAATTTGAGATACTTGCCTATCCAGTATTGTTTCGCATCCTAATCCAGAAACAGAAGTCCAATTTTTTGCTCATACCTATTTGTAGAAATGTGCCAGTCAAAGTTTTGATTATTTTCAATCACAGCATGACCCTAATGTGACCAGAATACTAATATGAAAGGAATATTATATACAGACAGGTTTAGAAGAACGAGATCTATTTGCTCTTGACCAAGGGAGACAGTGGGGGGATTTTACTATTCAATACTTATTTGCCAAAGAAGGACAGGAGAAAATAAAGAGCTAGTAAATTTAGAGATGAAACAAGGAGTTGAGTGTCTAGTGCAAACTTCATAAATGTGTTAAAACCCCTTTCACTGGTCTCCTTCAAGAAAAAGTCTGACAGGACCCTGGGGTCATTGAACCACAATGACCTGTTGATTAAGTAAGATGGGCTGAATTGTTTGTAGCCACTCTTGGGCTCATGTTCATACAGTATGTTCATGAAAGTAGCTGAATATGTGAATACAAAGTGCTTCAGTTAAAATTGAACTGGCAGTAGGTTTTGAGATGCAAATGTACAGTATGGCTCCTGTGAGACCTGTCAGTTCACACCTGGGTCTAGTCATGTTAAGAAAAATCTATCCTGATCTGACCTGAAACTGACATCATTTCAGGTCAGGTTGTTATTTGTAAATTTGTGAGTAGAAAAAGAAAGAGTAAAAGCAGTGAAAATCTGTGACCTTTCTGCATCATCGGAGTGATGGAGTCCTGCACCTGCACCTGAATTGAATAAAGCTATCATGCAAGAGTAGCCTTGCAGACACCATTGCAAATGCAGCATAGATAGAATGTTGCAGTTCCACCTGGTGTGCTGTGAAGTTCTGCATTTGTCCCATTGAAACTGGTTCTGTCCAACAGATGAATCACTCTGCTTTTCCTAAATGTCTTCCCAGCTCTGTTGCACTTTCTGAGCACAGCTGAGTCTGATTTTCT